GCGGTAGGCCACAATTTAAATATAAAATTTTCTAAATGTTGGTAACACTTTTACACGCGTGTACTTAGCTTTTTACTGTGTCGAGCAGTGTGACACTGTGTCGTAGTTGAAACATTTTGTGTCGGACACAGTGTTACACTGTGTCGTCTGTGTAACTTGCTGGAAAACGCCCCTTGCTACCATTTTGCGCCATATGCGAATTCCTGCATGTAAATTCCAAGTAGTGCCGTCGTTAAACCCTGCCCTCTTCTCAAACGACGCTTCGCTAATTACTCCTTGCTTCCTGTGCTCGCATCAGGATTTTCCGCAGAACGTCGAGCAAATATCTTAAGCACGTCGTCTTCGAAGTTGGGATCAAGCAAAATCTCTGTTCCCTTCTTTCCTCTCGTCAAATACTCTTGAAACACGGGCTCGGCCACTTCCCATAACGAACAATTTTGTTGCAGCACTTGGACCAGGGGCAGCGCCGACGGGAACAGTAACGACAGATTACTGGAAAAAGAAAATGTAAAATGGAAACAAGATACAGCGTTGAAACAAACAAATTATTGGACGCACTCACGTAAATACGGGAATAACTACGTTGGCGATGAATTTTATTTGGAGATTAGGGATCGACGCACGTTCCCTGTCCATCGTTTCGTCAGGCGTTTTGTTCATGCCCTTCTCAAGATCTCCTTGCGAAAAGAATTCGTTAAATATTTCCTCCTAATACGAAAGACTAACATTTATTCATCTGTTAAACGGACTTGTGTAAATCGGACATTGAAATTCGACGAAATTTACCGCTGTTTTTTTCGAGAGCTTCCACTCTTTGGTTTGATCGCTGAGATCGCAACAAGTCATGAGCATCTGGAATAGCAGCCTCTGCTGTTTCGAGTCGTTCTTGTTGTATTCGCTGCGAATCATCTCTTCCTGTTTCTCTTTGCTACGAAAGTGCAAATTTAGGTCAGTCGCGAGTATGTTGCTCCCCAGCAAATCCAATGCCTTGGCGTATTTGGATTTGTTCAAACTCTCAAATATATTGCAGCCGTCAGTGTTGAGAATGCATATCGTTTGCGCAAGATGATGTCTCTGTCAAACAAGGAGTAACGAATCTGTATTTGTTGCAGGACGAAATGCCAACCCTTTAAAGTGTCGACATTCTGTTTTACCTCCATAACGGATCCCTCCGAACTGTAAAGACTCGCTAATGCGGTGCTGTACCGTGTTTGAAATATATTGTTAGTTCCTCTGTGGTCTACATCGTGACACAAACATGACACGAGAAACACCAGAGCCTGCAAGTGTGTCATGAAATTTTCTTCAATGAGCCGCATGTTCTTTATCAACAGATATGCAAAGTGTGCCACGGAAAATGCATGTGTAAAATTGTGATAAGGCGCGTCTCTGTAGCCTTTTGCGACATACAATATGAATCTAAAGAACGTTACGTTACGTTACGTTACGTTACAAACAAATTTACTGGCTCATACATTATTTCGCATTTACAGTCTGGCATTAGTACCTCGCGAGGGTCGGCTTTTTAATTTCCCAGCGCTTCAAGAAATCCAGGTCCGCAAACATTTTAATAATGTAGCAAGGTACATGCTTGCGAGGTACATTCCTCGGGCTAAAGTGGAACTCGTTAAAATCTTTGATATTGTGGTCGTCTCTGCAATTCAACAATGCTTGCACAGCGGAATCCTTCACCTGCAAATAAATCCAATAGCCAATTTGTTAAGTATATTATTCGTCTCGACGAATATCTCACCTTCATGTGATACATCATCATCTCAGTACTGATCTGATTTCGTGCTTTAGCACCGAGCATTTCTTTATAAAGGGTACTATGCTTTATCGATATGCCGCAGTAGATACTGAACGCCTTCGCGACCTGCTCGTCGAGGGTATCGAAGTACAAACCGTTTTTTTTATTGCACAATTGAGCCACCCCTAAAATCATCCCAGAGTCTCTTTACATTCTCTGATTTTTACCACCAATTTACTTTGATCGCAACATTCTCACGGTGCGTTTAACATGTGTTCTCAATTTACCAACAATGTTCTTCTTGTCCTTTATTGGAAAGCACAAAATATTTCTCGTCTTAAACTTTGTCTTCTCGTCTATCTCGTGATAAAAATAGGGATCATTGTAAGCGTCTAGAACATTGCGTAGTTTACCGGTGGCTGCAACATAACCAGCTATACCTTTCCCCTTAGGTATACTGATCTTCCTTGGCGTCTGCGAATGTATAAAAGTGAAAATGTCAAGCTATTTATAAGATGCTGATGCATTTGCATGTGAAATTAACTGCGCAAGTCACCTACTTTTTCCATGGACATGCCGTCGAACACTTTGGCAACCAATTCATCCTCATCGGGATGAACACCTTTCTCCCAGAGAAATAAAGAGCATTTTTCTGCATCTGTCAGCTTGCTGGCCTCCGCCATGATCTGCTTCAGGAGAGTGTCGAAATCTTCTACGATTTGAATGGTAATATTTATATTACCATTTTTTTTAATAAAAGGCATACGAATACTGTACTCGACGAGCCAATTGTCATACCCAAATGTGTGAAGAGGTTCTCGGAGATATTTAGTAAATCTTGGCATTGCTTCTTCACACGGGTCTCCTCGTAGCAATGCAACGAACTGAGCAAGTACCCAAGACAAAACCTACGATAATTCATTAAATATACATTACGTTGGAAGGGTACAATTACATTTATCACATGATAAATTTAAGCGTGCTGATTGGCTACAAGCTAGAAAGTTTCTAGATATTCAAGAACTTTTCTATCCTGCAGCCAAATGTAATACCAGCTGAATACTTCTATTGGCAGTTACGTAATACGATTACAATTGCGTTGTACCTAAAGCACATCTGAACCTTCTCTGTACAAGCGTGCCTAGCTTCTTCCCAATCCACAGAATCTACCAGGCACACGAGCAGAGGTGTGTAATTCTTGAAAGGATGCTTTATCGGGATTGTCAAGAGCGACGATGCGTCGGTTATTCCGTTTACGCATTCCAATAATTCTCCGTCGAGTTGAGCAACGCTCAGGGCTAACGACGTATTCTTCTTCTTCTTCACAGCCTTGTGTAAAACACTGTTTTTTTTCTGCAAAACAAATTTCTGCCCATCATGTTACAGAAAATGTGCGTCCGGCCGAGAAATGCGTCACCGCGCGTGTATATCTTTTAAATAAATTAAGAAAAATGTATGTCAAAAATAAGGTATCTGGAACGTAAATTCAAATGGACGATGATTATCCTATCAGGCGATTGATACCGTCGTTAGGACTACGAGGAAAAATTCAATCTTCAATGTCATCACGAGTGGCTGTAAACAGACAGCCACAGACAGCCACTTTGAAGCGACTCGATAAATTTAACGACCATTTGCACAGGGCAACAACAAGATGTGTCTAGGTGTTTATAAATACTACAAATAAACACTGGGGAAGGTGAGTGCTTTCTTATTCTGGATACCTCGGATGTGGTCCACCGTTCCTTTTCCCTCGCCTTTAATTCTACCTTAGAGAAAAGAAATCGTCGAGACGGATACACTTACAAGAAGCCTCAATTGTCTGTCCAGAATCTTGTCGCCTATCACATGGACAACCATCTCCTTCTTTTCTACTGATATGAGAAAGACTAGTCTTGCGTTTGTCGCATCTTGCACCTGTAAAACAAGCGAAATTGAAGATGAGCGAGGCTCCGTCTGCAACGAGTCGTTGGGTCTTTTTCTGTCTGGATAAAAGACCGACATACAGTTCTGACTTTTGGGTGTCAAATCTGTATCCTGCACCAGAGCGAGAATGCTAAAAGCGAATAGCTTCTCTTTCTAGCCGAGCCCCATCGAAAGAGACCCGCTCGCTTTTAGCATTTTCACCATAGCGCAAGATACAGAACCGAGCCCCTGACTATCGACTATTCATTGTAGACTAGTCTCGGGGGTCCGCCGGCGTTCGAGGGGATCGCGACTCCCATACGTACGTATTTGTTGAGCCGCTGCTGCACCTGCGTGTACGGCAGGTCACACAGCCCCTCGATCAGCGTGAGGATCTCCGCGGGAAGATCGGTATCCGGCTTCGAGCCCATCACGGGTCTTCCTCCGCGTCCGCTCGGTCGCGAGTCATTTCAAGGTGAGATGCGGCGCGACATCGATCGCTCCGTCGCGATCCTCCGCGTGGGTCGACATCACGATGACAGCCTCCGGAGAACCAGTTGAAGTGAGTTTGAAGCGCGACGACGACTCCGCGTGCACCGCGGCCGGTTTGCGGCGACGACGACGACGGCAACAGGAAGAGGGCAGCGCGATTGACGAGGACGAGCACCGCGTCGGCCGTGCTTAGACCGTCGACGGACGAAAATCGCGCGTCGACGGCAGAGATGCCGACCCCCGAACCTCCAAACCCCTGACTCTTCTTCACCACATGACAGCCGAGCGCGTGGAGGGGGTAGCCTCGGCGCTCGGTTAACGTCGGACGCGGAGAAGAGCGCGGACATATTTGCTGTCCCTCTCTCTCTCTCTCTCTCTCTCTACGCCGTGACGACAGAAGAGCGCGGAAAGAGACAGCGGATATGTCCGCACTCTTCTCCGCGTGTACATACAGGGTGTCGCATTTTTTATGATCCACGCATATATCTCCGAAGAAATATGAGAGATACGGAAAAACGTTTCAAACAAAAGTTCCTTGGTTCGAAGGGGACGCAAGATGGTACCATTAGTTTGACCTTGAACAGTTGCTTGAAGGTCACGTGAAGATCATCAATTTTTTTTTAAATGGAACCTCCTATTGTTTATTATATCTTATTATATTTGCAACATTTCTTGATTTAACAAGTAACTTTCAAGTAAGACCCCTATCTAAAACGAAACAATATATGGTAACACGCCAATGTGGGTCACAAGGCAAGATGTAGGTAGCCCAACTTGTAAATCTTAAATCTTTTTGAAAATCGTGAATTTTTTGATTGGTTGAATGAATCTTATTGTCGCCAGTGATAATTCAAAGAGGGAATGTTTTTCAAAAAGTCGACCAGACTGGCGAGAAAGTGATCTTTATTCAGTTGACAACGTTTCGACCTCTTCATCTGGTTCTTTTCAAGTGTGGTCTACAAACAATGAAAGGTAATTGAGCCGAATGAGAGATTTTTTGATTTGCCTAATACTTTTTGAGATATTCAAGAGAAAATTTGTAACTTTTTCAACGTCTAGCTAGCCTATGATATCTCGATAACTGTTTGCCGGGGAGAAAAGTAGTACAGGGCTTTTATTAAATTAATCGGAAATTGGTCAGACAATAATTTTGGTACATTATATGTAGCGTAATAAGTTATTCGTTCTCCTTTCATAAAAACGTATGAGAAATGAGAAAAAATCGTACTGAAGTATGTACTTTTATAAAAGCGATGCATTTAATATACGAAATCACTTTAATTATATGTATCTAAATATTGTTTATTAAATGCTGAAAGAAAAATGTTTTCCTATGCGCGACGTACAAAACAAGGGACTTTAAATTAACAATTTTCTAAAAACGAATGCACATCGTTTGATTCTAATAGAGTAGAAACGGGTAAAGATACATATAGTAACGTGTATATTATTTATTACAAGATATATTATTTATTACAAGATTTATAAAAAAAACGTAACATGAAATATTTCCAGCATTACTTGGGCAGTAAACCTTGGTAGATTAGTGAGCGCATTTTCTTAGTTCTTGTATTCTTCACGTACAAAAAATCGCTGTTTCTATCTCGATTAATACAATAAAGGCACTTAAGGTCTAGCACTTATCGATATTAAATAAAGATTACGATACGACAATCGCTTATTCGGTTTATTATTTACTATAATAGGCAAACACATTACTTCAATTTTGGTTTGCAATTAAAATTAACTTGCATTATCTCCGAATGCAGAATAAATATTAGAGTTTAAATAAATATTTCGACGATTTAATTAACAGAATATAAATCATTAGACCTTAGGGTACTTTTCACATAATAAAAAATGTTGTTTAATTATATATTAATGTATAAACAGCATTTTTTATATGTTTCGCCATGGTGTACCGTAATATATTGTGTGTGTGTAAATGACAATTCTTTAGAATATTTAAATTAAATTAGTAGTTTTGTTTTCTTGGTCAAATGAACGTACATCTCGTACAACTTTCTTATACGTACGGTTTTCGCGTTCGGCCATATATGTATATATACATATATGTAAGCGCGATATGTCTCAGGTTATTTGACAAAATATGACAGGTAATTTTATGAACAGGAAACCGGCTATACACTGTCGAGCAGGACGGAGATGAGATAAAAAGGGAATTTTACCTGCAAAAATTTCAATTACACTCGCAGTCTTTTGTTTCCGTGAACATCTTTTATAATTTATCGGCTGATCTTATATTATTTAATAGAAAATATTTGAACGATTGTTTCATAACGCTATACATATCACTTTTATGTACAAAGATCTTAGGTTTATTGCCATTCTTTGTATTGACTATTGTGTAAAGTAGCCTTTTTTTCGTATAAAATACCGAACGGAAATGTCGAGTTCTACATCCTATAGAAATTACAAACACCGATGTGATTTACATCTTGAAATCTTGGTTTTGGCAACGATTTATGACTTGGGGGTGTATTCTGCAAGATTTTTGCTCCATAAGTTCTGTAGCTCTTTCTCTCTTACTCTATAGCGCTACACAGCTTAGAGGTACAGTATTACATTTTTACAGAACAAATCCCTTAAATGAACTTACCCGCGAAATGAATCGCATTTTTTAAATATTATTTAGCAATTAATAGACGAACTCCCGAATTATTTTGCACGTTTGCATATAATAATAGTATAAATAATTGCAATCGTTACTTAGCAAGACAATTATACTTCAAAAAGTAAAAGATGCATATATATTAAATAGGAATAACACGAGGTGACACTTCACTAATGTTACAAACTAAATAGAAAGATCACGCAGATAATAATAATCCATCTTGGAAGCTCAATAATACTGAATTTTTATCTGCTTCGAGAAACTTTACTATATAATTGAACCAAAAATCTAACCCTGTTATTCTCATCACATTAGCGGTTACGACAATTAACTAAATATTTGCAAAAGTTTCTACTTTTCCTCGTTGCATGTTTTCACCGTTCGGGATTTCGTGTGCACACTTTCCTCAAGTCGGCTCAAGTGGTTTTCGAGTTCGGCCGTACAAATTTGAAAGCCGGTATACGCGACGCGGGCCTAGGAGTCTCGCTTATCACAGCAGCTGGCTTGCTTCCGGCACTCCAATCGGTCGGCTGTCCCAACTGAGTCTTATTCTCAATTTTAGGCACTACTTGAATCGGGCCCTGCAAGTCGGTGGATTTATGTAATTGCCACACGTATATTTGATATGTAATAATTTACTTGTTATTCCTCCAAGTGTATGACTTGCGTACCGCAACGTATAATGAATAAGTTTCATTAGCCATTATTGCGAAACATGGAAATTTTGATCTCGTGATGCCGTAACAAGTTTACGCGAAGTTAATACACACCTCTGTCTTCTCACCCACTACAATCTCATCCTTGGTCTTCGCTATGTTACCTTCGGCACTTCCTTAAAAGGCAATGTATATTTCATTGATCGGCTTAAAATTAAATTATTTATCAATTATTATAGTTTAATTCCAGAACAAATGATCTAATTACCATCGTTGTTTAACGCATGACTAGACTCAGCGGGACTGTTTATTGGAGAGCTACATTGCATACTTGAGTTCATATATAATAATAGTCTGTTAGCTTCGCAATGTTCTACACCGTTTTTCATAATCGGGGAAGGCAAATCCGTTCTCGGTATCTCCGCTTCAACCCACGTGTTCTCAAGAACTTGTCGGTCCGGTTTGGGCGCAGAGTCCTGCTTCAAACCTGAAGGTGCAAATGTTGAATTAACATGAAAGTATCAACGATACTTTTATATAATTTAGGATTATAAAATTTTACGATTAATTATATATTTTTTGAAATAACTTACTCTCCTCCTGCATTCGCACTAGCTCGTGCAATTGCTCGGTATTCTTCGTTCGCGTGGTGAGCGAATTAGGACCACTGCTGTCGGAGCACGCGCTGAGTCTGTCACCCAGCTCGGGAGCGCTGTGCGTGCTCTCTATGCTCTCCGTCGAGCCGGCAATCGCGCCTGTCGGAAACTGATTATTCGTATTCACGTTGGCCTCGAGCAAACGCTGCTCGGAGCCGCTCTTCATCTTGCCGTACAGATGCATCCTCTTGGGCAGTTGCGACTTCCCTGCGACGTTCTGCACGATATTGGGTTGTGAGCCCTTAATGTATCCTATACTAGACATGCGACCAACGGCAATGCCGCCGGCGCCCCTCAGCGAGCCCGACACAAGATTGGGATTGGACTTTTGCAGGAAATGCGGCAACTTCGACCACGCCCTCGGTACGTTTCTCTTTGGCTGCGCCTTCGAGATAACGGGCTTGCAAAACGTGCTGTCCATGCTCGGACGCGCCTCGCTCGCGACATTGTCAGTTCTCTCGACGGGGTTGCTCTTCTTCGTGAAGGTATAAAATTTCTTTTGAACGGTTACAGGCGCTTCGTTCTGGCTTGAACACTGATTGGCCGTAAATGCCGTCTTCTTGTACGTGTGGTATTTGTTGGTCGGAACTACGTCGGTCTCATCCTTGTTGCCGGCCACGTGAATGTTCTTTCTCGTGTCTCTCACGCCGGAATGATCGCTAGTGATATGATTGTACGTGGAGTCCAGCTTGCGCTCGCTGTTTCGATGAATCTTCGCCAGGAGTTCCTGCCTCAACGACGTGGGATACACAGTTTGCTGCGGCTGATACGGAGGCTTCGTGGCGAGTTTCGGCCTTGTACCAAGCATGTTTGGATTTATCGGCGTGGATTGTTGACACATAGGCACGTTGAAAGATACATCGAGGGCGTTCGCCTTCGCGTGTGCCTCGCGCGTGAGAAGCGCAACGGATCTGATGTCGTCAACAATCGACACGGGCGAATCCGGTTTCCCGGCGCCTCTCGCTAAGCACAGATATGTTGTACCCAGTGACGAAATGTCATTACTCGCTTTATTTAGCGATTGCACGAAGGTAGCATTAGCGTTAGGCCCGGTTACAAAAGTGGAAGACAAAACAGCTGTCTCTCTCCTGTCGAGACTCGATCTTGACGCTGAGGTTTCACCAGGAACTTCGTCATATATCGCATTCAAGCCTTTATTCAGTCGACGAGATTCGTCGCAGGTGTTACTTAGACTATTTGTGCGACCCATGTCGTCAAGTGTAATCGTATTGTCCGCGTTTCGCATCACGAATGTCTTATTAATGTTAGCGGAGTTCGAGCCATCTTCCACGTCGAGACCATTTTGAGCCATGCTTTTATTTGTTAGTGACATTGTGCCGTTTTTAATAAATATAGACTCGTTCATAGATGCAATGATGGACGTACCCAGAACGGACGGCTGCGAAACGTTCATCAACAGATCGCTGAACTCGGACTCGTCTAAATTTATAAATGGATTTGTTCCTTTGAACATGTTCAGAAAGGCTCCCATACTTTTCTGCCCCGACATCGCCGAGCTTTCGTCGGACAAGATGGCCATAACTGCTCCAGTGGATGGCTTCAGGATCGGTGATACAAATTCGTTACTTCCAATTGTTGCGGGTAAACATTTTTCCATCTAGATAATGACACAAAATTTTACACATTTTAGCGATATATTCCGAATCTTAATTAATAATTCATGACTGTTGTAAATTGCAACAAATTATTTTATAAGTAAGTCTTCTATTTACTTAGATACAACTAGTGTTCATTTCCACTAATGATTAACTTGGATCTCGGTTTGAATTACTTTTTGTCTTTTTCTAGTTTCAGGAATTGGAAAAAAGATAAAAACCGAGTCAACATGGAATTAAAGTTAATCTGCATCGGTAGAAGTGTGTATAAAGCCCACATCGGACCACGGATTGAGATTCGATTGAAATTTGACCAATTAGAGTAAAGGTTACTAAACTTGAGATTAACGAACTTTACTCCGATTGGTCAATTTTCAATCTAATCTCAATCTCAATCCTGTAGTCTGATACAGGCTTGAGAGATGCACTTCAGTCGATCCTAATCTGTAATTTCTAATATAAAGCCAACGGCACACGATACTTCGTCCTACCAGATTGTTTGCGAGAGCCAACAAGGATGCAGAGTTTCAGATCAGATGACTTAAGGCTGAATCCCGACTGGCTCTATTAAGCAATCCAATAGGAAAAATAGTGTCGCGCGCCGTTGGTTTTAAATAGAGAGGAAGATATGAGAGGGGACTCACATTTTCTATGAACGTAACATTTATATCTTGCGTCCGTATATCTGTTGTAGGATGCGGCAGCTCTTCGAAAATCGATTCGAAGCTCATCAGAGCCGATCGTTTCTTGGGTCTTGTGAATGTTCTCGTGTCGAGGCATTTTTTGTTACCTAGATACATATTAAATTTAGCGGCAATAGTAAGCGGTGCTCCGATTGTGCGATTATGGATCAAGCTGGGAATATCTAGCGGAAAAAAAGTGCGATATTAGGAAGCTTTGTACTTTGAACGTCCAAGTCCAGTTCGGTCTTCAGCCAGGCACGTAGATCCTGAATTGAAGATTCGGTTGAGCATCGCGCAGGCATGTACAACCTAAAAAAAAAGGACGCAGAGTCAAAATCGTGTTAACTTATTAACTTTGAAGCAATACGAAAGGGAATACTGTACATTTTTCTCACTCGTACGAAACATAAAAAAGTTTACTCCACCTTTCGTGTCCCACTTATTTCAAACTCACGCGATTAACTAGCAAGATTAATATTGACACGCAGCTCTTGAATGCAATTCAAACTGACTCGGGAACGGCAAGAGACAAGTATCGAAGCACGTAAAGAAAAACTAATGAAAGAAATGGAATTGACGTTCCGATTATTCTCCGCTACGAACAGCGCGTGCTCTTTTCTTTAGAAGATATTTTTTCAATTACACTATTATTTCTTACACGTTACATGTATGTCCGTTACATTCTCATTGTGTTTACTCGTTTCCCAGGTGGAAGTAAAAATCGCGCGGGGGCGGAGGCGAAGGGAAACACAGAGAGCCACCGACGGGCGTGCGACACCCACCAGTAGTCATCGTCGACGTCCTCGAGCTGCAGGTCCAACAGGTCCAACAGGTCCGAGAGGTCGAGGTCAGCCTGCAGCGATTCGTAACTGCCATCGTGAGTGCGTTCCGCGCGCGTGACAGTCTCGTTCGAATCCGTGGTGCCCGCTGACATACTTCGCGGCCGAGCGTTATCGAGTCGCGCGTATACGTGCACACATATTTCTCATCGTTCCCGGGCACCTGGTCCTTGAGGCGCGCGCGAAACGTAAACAGCCGAGCTCGCTCAGCTGGGGGGCGAGACAGAGGGATAAAGTGAGAGAACGAGCGGGAGGGAGACGGCGGGAGTAAATTTAACTCGCGACGAACAGGAACGACCGCGATGACTTTCAACGCGGACCGGGGAGGGAAAAAAATATCAACACGACCGCCTGGATCTCGCGTCCCGTCGCGAGACATAACCACGAAGTCAAGGATGCTACTGGCTGTGGTCAGTCAGTGATGGTAGATGGGCCGGGTTTTTGGCGCATGCGCAGCCGTAAGTCCCA